GTAGGCTAAATAGCTGTATTTCCCCAAATCACTAAATTCTTACTCTTACAAAATTCCACACATGGATATGTCTAGAACCATTGCAGAATACTCCAGCTTCTCACACAACTATAAAAGGATAATGTGGTAACAGTCACATATGCACTCTTAATCTTGCCAATTATCATGTGTGTGCCCCCCTAGTCCTCTAGCATCATTGAAAAACTGCTCAGTTGTGGTAAGATTCTCAAAATCTGCTGCTGAATTGCTCAGTTTAATTTAGCCAGTCCTTTGTGGATGAATTAACATATTCTATTCACATATTCTCACTCACTCATATGGCAAAATCAAAGTCAATGACTAGGTAAAACATTTGGAATAATAAACTCAACACCACACATCCTCACAATTCTGTTTTTAAATACATTTTTTGTAATGGATGACGAAGAGATTGAGAGTGTTCACAGCTTCAGTTTGCTCGGCTCCACAGTCAACACTCTTGGTACCAGCAGTCAGGAAATCAAAAAGCGTATCGCGATGGGAAAGTCTGCTGTTAGGGACCTCTCAAAGGTACTCAGGAGCAACAGTGTCTCTATGGAGACTAAGGTGCGCCTGATACAGGCCATGGTATTTGCAATCGGTTGTTATGCATCAGACAGTTGGACAATGACTAGGGAGTACAGAAGGAGAGTTGATGCTTTTGAGCTGTGGTGCTGGAGAAGGGTACTGAATGTACCATGGACTTCCAGGAAAACAAACTCATCTTGGAGAGGATTAAACCAAGCTACTCCTTGGAGGCAAGGATTCTGGGGCTTCGTCTGACATACTTTGGACATGTTGCCAGGAGGGACGGGTCCTTGGAGAGGGACATCATGTTTGGGAGGGTGGAGGGACAGCGCAGGAGGGGAAGACCCTCTATGAGATGGATTGATTCGGTGACTGGGGTAATCGGGATGGGTGTGTCAGAGGCGGTGCGGTTGGCGCAGGATAAAGCAGGGTTTAGGGCTGTTGTGCATAGGGTCGCTATGAGTCGGAAACGACTTGACAGCACATAACAACAACAACAATTCAATACATCTCATGGTGAACTTACTTCTCTTACTCTGACCTTCTACTTTTCCAAGAATGATGTCCTTTTCCAAGGGCTAGTCTCTACTGATAAAATATTCAGAGTATATTAGATAAAACTCACCTTCTTTATATTTAAGAACCACTCTTTTCAAAAAAATTAATTTCAATGAACATTTACAGAGATTTTGGATTTCCATTCACTCATTGTTGCACTTTTCTTTGTCCCCTCCAACACCCCCACCCCCAGTTCACTCTTCTCTTTGAAAAGTAAAAGAAAAATTCCTTCATTGGTATACAATCTCCCCCTGCACCCCCTTACCCCCACCCTGAGTATACTCCACTCTGCAACCTTAATTCCAGACTCTTATGATAATCATAATGCCCTATAATATATTGCTTTTAAACTGTTCTCACCCTTATCCATTTCAATGCAGTATCCATGATTCATCCAGTTTTACACATTCTTACCCCAACCCTGATGTCAGTCCCATTCTACAGCAGTGGCACTATGCAGTATTTGTCCTTTTGTGACTGAGATATTTGACTCAGCATAATTATATTTAAGGACAACTCTTACAGAAATTCATCTAAGAGGACATGAAGTAGGCATGTGAATATATGAGAGAAATAGGGTGCAAATAAATATCTTAGTATTGTTGGGTCCACAATCAATACTTTCAGCACCAGCAGTTAGGAAATCAAAAGACAAATTACTCGGGACAGATATGCCATCAGAGACATCAGAGACTCCAGAGGGCTAAAGAGCAACAGTGGCATTTTAGAGACTAATGTGAACCTGATCCAAGCAATGGTCTTCAATAATGATTTGCTTTGCATCAGAGAGCTGCACAATGACTAAGGGATACAAAAGAATGAATACCTTTGGGTTGTGGTGCTGGAAAGGAGCACTGAACATACCAAGACTGCCAAAAGAATAAAACAGTACTGTTGTTCCTTGGAAGCAAGGATTTTGAAGCTCCATCTCACATACTTTGTGAATGTCGCCAGGAGGAACCAATCCTTGAAGAAGGACATCATGTATGGAAGGGTAGAGAGACAGCCCAGGAGAGGGAGAGGTGGATTAAAAGCAACTAGAGTAATGCAAGTAGGTATTTCAGAAATAGTGAGATTGGCCCAGGATAAGGCAGAGTTCAGAGCTGTTATGCATAGAGTCACAAAGAGGCATAGTTGACTCAAATTTTGTATGCAACAATAATGTTGGCATATGAATATTGACTTAAACCATGGAAGTGAATAAACTGGCTTAAAATACAGTTACAGCTTTAAGTAGAAAATAAATAGGAAAAAGTCTTGCAGTCATCCACATTTTAAACATTAAACATTTTAAACACAATTTTAAAAAATCAACAGGTAAAGGTTATTGTCATTAAATCATACAGTGTCTTGGAATCTCTAGAGGAGAAGAGTGAGTCAAAAGAAGTTTGAGGATGGTAAGGGGAGAAATCCATGATCAAAGAGTTTGTTGGGTGGAGGGGGAGAGTGAAGTAATTAGGAAAGATCCAGTGAGGGACTGAAAAGATGGAGTGATGGTGGACATAAAAGTATACAGGTTAATTTTATAAAACATAATACGTGGAAACGATCATATAAAGCAAAATATAAATGAAAGAATGTGTGAAAACAAAATGTATACAAATTCTGTATGCAAAATAATGTAAACTTTAAAAGCAGAAAAAAAGCAGTCATGATGAATTACTAGTATTAATTATTATTACTAACCATTACTATCATTAAATAGAGGTTATTCACCACGATGCTGTTGTTATGTGGTGTCAAGTTGCTTTCAACTCATAGTGACTCTGTGTACAACAGCTCTGGGATCTGCTCTATCCTGAGCCAATTTCATTGTCCGTGACACACTTAGACCCGAATTACCACAATCACTGAGTCAATTCATCTCATCCAGGGTCATCTTCTCCATGTTTTCAAGCATGATGTCCCTGTCTGAAGACTAGTCCCTCCTGGCAACATCCTCAAAGCATATGAGTCAGTACTTAAAAAATCTCTGCCACTAAGGAGCAGCCTTGTTTCACCCTCTTCAGGACGGACTTCAATAGTTCATGATGTGTTCGATACCACCAGTACGACAACTCAAAGGCATCAATTTTTCTTCTATCAATCTTAATCACTGTCTGGCTTCCTGCATAGCAAGTATTTGTGAAGACCATGGCTTGAATTAGGTGCACCTTAGTCTCTAGACTGACGTTATTGCACTTCAATACTCTGGAGCATGACAACAGACAGCAGATTTTCCTAATGCAATTCATCTTTAGATTTCCTGGCTGGTGGTACCAAGAGTGCTGATTGTGCAACCAGGCAAGGTGTCTTCTCCACTTATCATAATGTCTCTAGTTGGTTCAATGATGAGAATCTTTGTTTTCTTGGTTTTGAGCTTTAATCCATATTGAAGGCTAGAGTCCTTGACCTTCGGCAGCAAATGCCTCAGGTCCTCCTCAGGTTTATAAAGCAAGGTTGTCATCTACATAACACAGGTTGTTGATGAGTCTTCCTTCAATCCAGATGCCACAATCTTCATAAAGTCCAGCCTCCCAGGTCATCTGTTCTGCCTAAAAACTGAAAAAGCAGGGAGATAGGATGCCTTACTTGATCTTGAAACTTGTTCTGTTCTTATGAACTGTATTCAAGTCTAAGTACAGGTTTCACATGAGCATAATCAAGTGTTTGAGGATAATTATTCTTCTCAAGGTTAGCCACAATTTGTTGTAATCCAAATAATCAAATGCCTTTGAATAGTCAATGAAACACAGATAAACATTCCTGCGGGACTCTGCTTTCAGCTAAGATCTATACAACATTGGCTATAATAAATATCCCTAGTGCTATAGCTACTTTTAAATGCCTGAACATCTGGCAGCTCTCTGTTGATGTAATGTTCTAGTCATTTTTGGATAATCTTCAGAAATATCTTGCTTGCATATGATATTAATGATATTGTTCAATAATCTCCACACTGTTGGATCACCTTTTTTTTCCCAATGGGAATAAATTTTTATTTCTTCCAGTCAGTTGGCCAGTTAATTGTCCTCCAGTTTTCTTGGCAAAAGCTGTTGACTAAAATTTGTCTAGAGATACTTGCATTCAGGCATTGATTATTACTTACTTAAACTAGGGAAATTGTATATAGTGGTGTTCAAAAACTTGATTGGAGTAGTTTAAATTGTTATATTAATGTGAGAAGATGAAGAGAATAAAAGTTAATAGGAAGTGTTTTTTGATCATGTATCATTTAGTTAAATTATTCCCTTTCATGTGAATTTAGTTTACAGTTTTTCCTTTTATTGACTTATACAATTTTACATGTAACTTTTTACTTTTTTCCCCCCATTTTTCCTTAGCATACATTTCTAGAAATCATTGTTGTTGAGTAAAGACTAAGAACATAGTATCATTTTGAGCATCTTATTGTTTGGTTAATTCTTTTCCTTTTCTTATGTATTTGAAGTTACATTTTCCCTTCTAAACTCCATCTCATTTGTTGAATTTATATATATCCTCTGTGTAAGAGCATAAAATAAGATAAATAGTTTGTGGCCATTCTAGGAAATTAGTTATAATAAGCATGGTTTTTCACAGCAAAATCTTAGTAAAATGGATTTTGCCATTTTAGTCTGCATTTATTTAGTAGCATTTTATGAATTATTTTATGAGTAAAAGTATATATATTTAAGTCACAGGAACTTTATGCTTATGATTTGTTTTACATTAAAAATTTACTTATTACTTAATTATACACCCTCATTAATACAGATAAAAATGTTTAATAAAATGCTTTTATGTAATCGTTTAGATATTTTCCCTAATATGTACTTCCAGACCAAATGATTCATTAATATAAGCTAAGGTTACAATGAAATTTATTGTGAAAGATTTTAAAATGTTACTTTAATGTTTGCTTTTATGTATTTTAGGGTGTCTAATTTATTGTCAGACCATGGGCCTTTGGGATCTGGGGCATACAGATCAGTAGGTGAATGGTTAGAAGCAATCAAAATGGGCCGATACACCGAGCTTTTCATGGAAAATGGATACAGTTCAATGGACGCTGTGGCTCAGGTGACCTTGGAGTGAGTAACTTTTCTGATAATTTTTAAATAATCATTGGGGCAAGAAAAAAATGTACAGGAATAAATCTGGATGGGGAAAGAAAGTCTATAAACTCTTGACTACATGCAACAGCTTTCAAAGAAGCCTCATGTTTTGGGGTTTGTTTGTTTGGGGAAGTTTTTAGCCTGTATTGTTAACAACTGCATGGTTAATGCTACTTGTTGCCAGTATTTTTGATTCTATGCTTCCAACAAATGACATTTGAATATTTGACTAATTGGAATAGTAACTCCTTGGCAAAATACTGGTATTTGTGTTGTGGAAAAAAATGTTTTCTTGACAAAGTTTTTATACTAGTACTTATGTTATATGAATGTAAATACAAAACAAAAGAAACTGTAAGCACAATTGGTGGGAATAGTCCTCTAAGACTTGGCTCTCTGTAACAAATATCCAGGTAACAGCAGCTTCAGCAAAGCTTATGAGGGCAGGAATCTCATTTCATCTCTAAGTGGTGCACATTATATCCTTATACTACAAGGATATATTAGATTCTGCCTCTGATTTGTTTTTAGTACAATCTCAGTGGAACCAATTGTGCCCTTTTCTGTTTGCACGTTTAAGACAAAATTTATTAAACCTTACTCAAGAAAAGTCACTAGAGTTAAGTCCTAAATCCTTTAAGATTGTCAGTTGTTTGTATTTTACTATACACTTTATGTGTAATTACTTTAGCCTATAGTTGTTATTTGTAAAAACTGTCTCCATGATAGTGTCATCTAGATTATGTTAATATTGAAAATATTTTAACCTGTGAATTTAGTAACTTAGTTCAAATTAAGTGCAAATTCAAAGGTTAAAATATTGTTGCAAGTGTTAGAACGTGGTAGCATATTCTGAAACACTAAACCACAATTCACTACTTAATATAAACATTGAACTGTACTCTTTGATGTCTGTTGTTACAGCATTATTTAACTCAATGAATTCACTGTCCACCCCCACAAAAGGGAACAGGGTACCACCATCCATCACCAATTAATATCACACTATCAGCATTTTTTCTTCTTTACAACTATAACTATAAAGATTTGAAATTACCATTCAGTTTACCCTCTTATTTGTAGAATTCCATTCTCCTGATCACCACTCAAATCACCCACTTAATTATACCTATACTTTGGCTAATATTTCTTTGGATACATGAAACTCATTTGTGTTATATTTAACATAGTAAACTGAAAAAGCTACTGCTAATTTAAAACTATTTTTACATGACTAATATTTAATTTTTCAGTAAAAATGATCATTTTAATTTATTGAATTCATTTGTCATTTTATATTAAAATGATACTGTAGGTATTTCTTTTACCCAATGTCAGTATATTAAAATGATACTGTAGGAATTTCTTCTATCCAATGTAATATTATTTGTAAAATATGTAATAAAATTATTTGCACTAAATGATGTCTCTTTTTTATTAAAATGTCACATAATTCCATATGTTCATTACTTCTCCCTTCAGAAAATAATTTTAATCACAAATGGTTTTGCATTAACCATGTATATATGTGTGGTTTCTATTTCTTTCGGGCCCCAAATAATGTAAATATATTGTATATTTTAACACTGTAGTTTAAATTTGTTTTTCCTTAAATTATTTTCTCTCTTCTTTCTCTTCTATTCTAAAGTTCCCTTCCTTTTATATGTTCTTTCACATATTAACAACTTTTTCTGTATTCTTGTGAATTTATTTCCTATCTCAAGCCTCTTCTCAGTAATTGCTCTCAATTCAGTTTTTATCTTGTTGAGTCAGTTTATTCTTCCTGTTTTTAGTTCTTTCATGAGTTTGCTATCTCTAGCTGTATTGTCTCCTTCTTTTGTTTTATCTTTTAGTTTTATTTTACCTGAACATTTATGTGAAATTACAGACTAATTGATATCTTCCTGCTCAGAAAATACGGCACTCTGTTGGCTGCTTGATGATAATTACAACAGATTCTTCATGGTCGTCTTATTTGTGGTGATACTGGCCATATTATTCTGATTTGTGAGAGCATATTTACCAAAATATTTTAACTACCCACAGAACAGGGCATACCCAGTTATTTCTTTAGTCAGGAATTTTCAAAGTGGTCATCTTTGCATTGTTCTTGCCTTTCTTAAAAAAAAAGTCATAGGGAACTAGGAAACTAACAAAAATGAAGCTATTAAAACACTCTTTTAGTGATTCATTATGTTTTTTACCTGATATCTAAATATTGGTTTTATAGGGCCTATATAACAATACAAAAATAAAAATATTATCACAAATTTATTGCTAAGACATATTAGAATCTCGAAGACTATATTCATAGCTATAAGAAAATCACTTAGGAAGATGTTATAATCAGTTAAAAATATTAAAACTGATGCATACTTGCACTAAAAAATGTATTATAATCTGTTTCTGTGTAAAGTCTAAAAATAGAAGTATAACTAATGCAATTTTTTCAAATCCGCATAATTTGGTTTAAGATTTTCTTCCTACAGATTAGACTTTTTTATTAGCTTTTGCACGTATATATTAATGTAGAAAGAAAATAAAGCAATTATCTATCTAATCAATCAACAGAATCATTATGCATACATATATTATTGAACAATTACAGCATACCTACTACTTACTGTTCTCTGTGATCCAAAAAAAAGAGAACCCTAGTCCTAATATTTATGATC